CAGGTCGGATTCGAACCCGGACCGCTGCAGTAACTCAGTATATGGGTCTCCAGCTCTACTGACTGAGCTAACAGGGCGCCCAAGACTGTTTTTTTAATTGGAAGGAATTTTCTCATCATCCAGTCCATCAAATCACCAACAACTTGCAAGATATTCTTTCACGACCCCTCACACGGACACACAAAACACATGCTTTTGTTCAGTTACTGAAAGGCAAAAGGTATTATTGACAGGAAATTAGAAAAATAAACTTTTAAGGTCTTTTCAGTGGATCTAAAAACATTTTTTGTAGCAAGGCCATGCTTTACATAGGAGCACTAATAATCAGTTGTATACTGAAAGCCACCAACACAGTGAGTTCTCTATTCTGTCAGAACTTTACAGCAGTCAGAGCTGCCTTCAACAGTCTCTTTTAAACTTTAGGCTGATTAAACAAACAAGATATAAAGTGATTATTACAGAGCTTAAGAGGTATTTCCACATTGGTAGGTGTTTTTTTAACCTTTCAACACAGTCAGGGTGGCTATTTTCTGGCTTTGTGCTAAGCTAAACTAATCAACTGTTGGCTATTGCTTCATATTTAGCATACAGACATGAGAGTGGTAACTCATCTAAGTCTTGGTAGGAAATCAAATACAGTAAAACCTGGATAATGTGGATAATGTGACCAGTGCATTTGATAACTGAAGTAATTGGTAGGGGCCATCAAATTCTGCATCATGAATATAATTATGTTAAATGTGTAATAATATATGTCTAAATACATGAGTGCCGGGGGTTGATTCCTGTGGAACTCCATGTCATGCATTAACTGTTTCTGAGACAGTTTCCAATCATGCAAATAGGCAGACCTATTGAACAACTGTAACACTGCGCCAGACAATCTAACCTTTGTTTTTTTTTGTCCAATAATATGGTGATGGTTGATGTCTGGTTAGTGCAGTCAAACCCCTACACACTAATTAGCACATTACAGGACAGATGTCACTAATATAAACAGGAATAATGTAGGTCAGCATAGTGAGCAAAATACCTGCATAACATATTTTGCTTGTATGGTATAACTTGGTGCTTTTTTTTCTGCCACATGCAGGAGGTGAAGTACTTCCAGTTTCCCGGAGAGCTGCTAATGAGGATGTTGAAAATGTTAATTTTGCCCCTCGTCGTATCCAGGTAAGAGCCACACAGCTCCACACACACATTATAAACACACACAAACACATGCATGCTGTGTATGTTAAATGCCAAACTTCATAAAAGAGTTGAATAATGATTTGGGTGGATGTTGATTATCACTGCAGGAATGTGGCTAAGAATAAAAGTCAGAAGAAATAATAAAGAGGAGATATCTGCAGTCACTGAGCTAGTATCACCGACACTGCAGTCACTCTCCTCCTACATACATATAAATGAAATTCGTTGCCATTTGCTGCAGAAACATTTTGCAAATAGCACACTGTTGCCTCTGGCAGTAGTTAATATTACTTTGAATATTGTACAATCTTCTTCTGAATGAGATGAAACATAAAATTTGACCAAACTGCAATCTATTTGAATGTTCTTCTAAGAACACTGAGACAGCATCAGAACGAGATGTTTGAATTTACTTTGAAGTTGCTTCAGAGAGAATTATGAATGTTTACACACACATAAAAGGGTCCATAGTACAAAAATGCATTCAAATTCGTGCAGCACAACTGTACTGACTGGATTACATTTATCAAAACACCTGAATACTGAAAAAAACAAGCAAATAGCAACCTATCCTACACCTGTTGGTAATTTGTGTTGTGTATCACAGCAGCTTCATTTTGCGTTTTAACTCCAGCTGACGCCTGAGCCAATCAGCTGTCCTCAATGACCACCTGTTTGTTGGTCTACTGTGAGTAACTAAAAAAATATAGTAAACAACATCATAATACATGCTATGTTTTGAGTCAGGGGAGCAGGGAGTTTTTTTTCCCGATTTAGGTATAAAATCCTGTTTTCTGCTTACAGGGTTTTCTTATACACAGACTATAGTGTTTGGTACTGGCTGTGCATGGCTACAGGTGATTAAAGTCAGTGTAGTTTTTACTGCACCCAATTACTGTTTTCAACATCAAGGATTAAAGTGCAATGTTTGTATGGGAGTAAACCTGTTGCCCTTTTATAGCTTTGGATGCGTTCTTAGGAGCGCACAGCCTGCCAGATTCTCCAGTTTGACTATTTTAGGCTCAAAGCTCTTAGTTGCCTGCATGGGGTCAGTGATGTCCAACACACAAAAAAACTCCCAAAACAAATCATGCAAACGCACCGGTTACATGCAGGGCGCTTTGTGCAATAAGCTACTTACAATCTATGCAACAGCAAAGACTGGATGAGAAGTTAATCCTCCCTCCCTCACTCTGTCTCTTTCTGTCTGTCTGTCTCTATCTCAGTGTGTTTCTGTGTCTGTGTCATGTATATTTCTCTTTCTGCCTTTATGTACATTGTTTGAACACAGAGCAAAGGGTAGCAGGTGTATGTGTTTGTTCATTCATGCATGCTAATGCTTTCCTCCCCCAGTTTCACAGATTCAGAGCAGGAGATCATTTCAGTGCAGGTTTTCTGCCAAACGTGAGGCACGTGAGGGAAAGAGACGTTAATTACAAGTAATCTGAAACAGTGCATTCAGGCAGGGTGCCAGACTCAGCCAATTCAACATACGGGAACGTAAAAGCAATCAGGGCAAACATTCAGGGTTCTGAAAATGGGCTCTGGCTGCTGGAGCTCCTGTTAAGTTTGCAACACACAATGTTCCTGGTGCCTGCCTGCCACTCGATGGAGGTAATAATGGATAATGAAGGTGGAAGGCATGGCTTGTTACCTAACAGCTGTTGTGTTTGTAGTAATCATTATCCATTCACTTCTATCTACTCTGAGATGATTTGCAGCATATCTGCATAACTTTGCAGCCCTCTGCAGACACCCCTGTCAATCCAGCCACAGACACAAGCTCAGTCTGGGTTGATCACCTGTTTGTCTCTCTTCTGCCATGCCTAGTGTGTAGTGTACCTAGATTGGGATGCACAGACTGACTGGTTGACATGGTGAATGGTACAGTAGGGCTTATCTAGGGGTGAATATCCGCCACAGCCGTATAGCCTGCCTGTCCCCATTTTTCCCTCCCAGCGCCATCTGCGCACCAGCCAAAGCGGAAACCAGATTATCCCATGAACGCGTCATGCAGAATCAATGGCCACTCCACTTACTGCCTCCTTATGTTCCATGTGTCTTTTATTTGGGGGATTTTAATTAAAATAACCTATAAAATAGAACTAGATTTTGAAAAAATATATATTTTTATAAAAGAAAATTGTGGTTTCTAGTTAAAGACAGCATTAACATTTTTGACAAAGGCCTTGCTTTATCAAAAATAAGCTCTTATTCACCAATGCTTTGGCTGAGAGGTGAAGGTCAAAGGTGAAGAACAGTTTTAATGATATTCAGCACAGACACACATATGGCAGATTCACACTATATACAGAGTGCTGATAAGTGCATCTGCCTTTGTGTGAAATCTTGCAATGAAGTGTAAATAAGTTCTTCTTGCTGACAATGACTAACAATGCAATGATCTGAGTTCCATTTTCCAGAGTTCCCGTATGCAGCATTAAACTAAATGTTCAATTTTCACACACTGAAGAAGAACTAATTAGTATGGAAGATAAGTGTTTTGAAACAGATGTGAGTGGGTGTGTCCTGCAGCTTGTTTACAGGGTTTTGAGAAATCATAAATAGCCTGGAGGCATGATTTGTTTAAATGTGAAGCTACCATAGGTGTTTTCTCTTAGGAAATGAATGGTAATTCTTTAGCCTCCTCCTATCTACATTGTGGTTATAGCTGTCACATTCTTAGAAACAGACTGAAATTTAAATAAAGGTGCACAACATTTCCTGATAATAAAGATTCAATTTGTGCATCTTAAACAGGTATGTAAACATCCACAAGTCTGTTTTGTTGGGGCAGCATGTATTTCCCTACGCTTATTATAATTGGGCAGCCTGTTCGGATTTTCATATCGTCCCCCATGTTTTTAGATTTCACATGTGGAAGTTTTAATCATGTGGTTTTGTCTTGTCGCTGATTAGGCTTGGTAGCCAGATAATTCCTGGTGAATATTTCTCAGACTAGAAGAAGAATATAGAGAGGAAATGAGCTACAGTAATTTTCTTGAGAAAGTGCTAATGTATGAGTGCATAGAATGTGAAGGACTCTGATTATAGCTTCAAATTTAAGTCCTTTTATCCATTTCACTGGATGTCAGGGTGACTCAGGGAGACTGAGCACAAGCCATGTGCTTATCAAGTCATATTGTGATTGTTATTTGTCAGCGCGTGTGCATCTCTCCAGCTTAATGCAGCCTAATTTGTTTTGCTGGTTGTACTGCAAGAGTAGCTGAGGTCATTTTAAATTATGAAATTATTTTTATATATTCTATCAAGAACTCTGTCTATGATGCCAATGAGGAACAATTAACTAGTGGCTGTCAGACACATTTATGAGTTGCAATAGAGTAAACAACATTGATGAGAATAAAATTTCAAAGCCAGATTTTGTTAAAAGGAAGTTGTAACAATTTGATAATGTGTCATAAAACATTTAGATTTCATTTGCTGGACATCATGTTGCTGAAGTGTGTTTTCTCTTGTGTTGTGAGCTAAACGGTTTATGGCTGTTGCAGCCGTGCAATTCATTCCAATGATCATGAAAGAATTTATCATCAGCAATAACATGCTCATTTTAGTGTGAAGTTTAACTTAGGTAAACTTTGACCCACATAAGATAATGTTTTGTGCTTATATTGCCTTTATTGCTCATATGAGCAGCTGGAAGAAAGACAGGAAAGTGGTTACAAAGAGAGGGAGGATGACATGTGCCAAAGGGTGACGGGTTAGAATCAAACTCTAACGCACTAGCGAATAGTCACTACCATACCAAGCTTTTAGAACTAAATAAATACAGTGCCATAAAAGTACCACTTTCACAGCACTGTACCTTTCCCTGTTACCTTACAAGGCAGCTGGACTCGCAAAATTCACAAAATCTAGCCAGTCTAGGCATTGAATACTTTTCTCAGGAAAAAGATGTTTTTGTTCTTCTCTGGCTTACTCTGTTCATTTATTTGATTGGTTGAAGTTTGCCTGTGAGAGAAGGTGATGGCTAGTTGTTATAGTTCATCCACTCACTTGCCTACGCCGAGTATTTTTTTAAAGCACCTCCCCTTTTCCAAATAGTTTCCAATGACGACTTCCCAGATGGCGTCAGCTAATCTAAAAGTGGAGATAGGATGTGCAGCACTTAGCAGCATGAAGAGGAGCAGAGATTGTTGACTACCTTGTGGTTTGAAAAGCAAAGAACACAGTGTGCAGTCTTCCATTAACACAGCACAGTTTGTTATATAGAAACATTTATAATACATAGTATATTCTGTCATGCTGGTAGATTTCAATTTCTTTCAAGGTCTTTTATTGACTGCTGGGATTGTATCTTAATATATAATATAATTGTTTTTTCTGCCCTTTCCAGGTAGCATCTGACAGTTATGTCTGCTCGATGTTATTGGTCAGCTCAGCAGGTCAGGCAGCACAGTTATAGTGAATTGATTTTCTTAATCTTAGTGTACAGAGAGACAGATGAACACACAGCGGTGTACAGCAGAGCAGTGAAAACTCATCTGAGAAATTATTTATTTATACATTAATACATTATTTTAATAAATGAATCATTTATTATTCACTAAGCAACGGTAAAAAGCACTTCACCTGGACGTGTGTCAATACACAGCTAATAATATGTCCATTGACAGCACTGACCGACAGACAATGACTGCTTGATTTGAAAAAGGCAAAGTTCCTCATAGAAAAAGGAAGAACCATCTTACTGAGTCAATATATTTCATTTATTATTCATCCTATGTTGTAGCGAGTTAATGAAAATCCTCCTGGGTTTGTGACATATATTTTAGCCATTAGTTGTCACCATTAATTATCAGAGCTGTTGTGGGTTTCTTCTTCTTGTTACATTTACTGTGAGATCTAGAGATTGTAATAATCCTGCTTTATCAGATAGTGAAACTGACATGAGGTAGAATATCAATATGGTTTATAATGACCTGAGCTGCCCAAAGGGAAGGCCACACTGTCACTAC